CTGAATAGCACTTCATTCTTGGTCGTACTAGCTTCTTATTAGTACCATTGTGTGGGAACGGTTTGGTTTTCGCGGAGCCTGTTAACTTGCTCGTTGAACAGTAATCAATCTAAAACAAGTTGTTTACAGCGTAATTTGCTAAAAGCATTGTAAAAAGGCAGGAATAGATGAGCAGCATTGGGACAAAGAATTTGTGCCAAGAAGTAAATATAGTAAAAATATAATGTAGATAAAAATAATTTTAACTGTGCTTAAAAGAGTTTTCCCGTAGTTCTTTGCTCCAACATGCAAGACGTTTAACCAAACGCGACGCTCAGCCTATCAAAACCAAAACTGCATCAGCGCTGCTCTCATAGGTTCGATACTCAAGAAACAAGACCATTAAAGTGATAGTGATTTTAACTCAGGAGAACCAATTTGCGAACGAAATGATCTTAGGGTTGAGATATAGCCGCAATATAACTTCAGAAAATCATAAAAAGGAATACGGGTTTTTCGGTGCGTCTCTTAAAATAATTCGCTGGATATTTGAAACTGAAATGCGCAGTTGTCAGCTGTATTGTGGATAAGATTTCCTGTCGAATGATTGGAAAAACTTACTTAAAAACTTCAGTTTGACTTAGAAATCGAGGTAAACAAAAAACACGGTTTTTCTTCTTTTAATTACTTAGACAAAAAATTGAATTTTGCGCAGTTGTCTATTCAAATGTACGTTTCGAGGCCTTCATAATGATATACGATTTGCTTACATTAATTTACAAAGAACGGATAAAAGGGCACCAGATCCAAATGCCCGAGAAAGACCCTTGGTTGCGTAGATAGTGTGCAATTTTGAGAGGCGAAAGGGAAGACCAGAGCAAACAGGGCATTTGGCTCTGGTGGCTTATCACGCTCCTACTCAACGAAACCCCAACATCCATATATCATGCTCAGAATCGTATAGAGAATCCAGCTGGTAACTGCGCAACTTTTACAAGTCCCATGATAACGAATTATTTTCTATATTCTCTTGATTTCCACTACTCAAGACTATTTGACGTGCATGCTTCTATTAATTTTAAATCATAGTGACTATTACTTTCAACGAAGTTTGCCCAACTGCTTGGAAAGAACTAGTTATAGGGGAAATCAGCACTTACTCCTTTTTAGCTTTGTCAACTTTAACTGCTACCTTTAAACTACACCTTTCCATTTTTCATGGAGAAAACTCCTCATCATTTCCCTAAAATCCACAGTTCTTATATACTACGACATTTTAATCATTTCGTTAACAATAAAGCGAAAATTTCCTCCCTCTATTGGTCTTATAGTTAACTTCAAATGTGTAGAAAAGTCGATGTCCCGAACTCCGCCTCAGACCTTGACTCACTCTCTCTTAGATGAGGGTCATACTCTTTCTACGTTCATTAGTGAAGGTGACCAAAGCCATGGCTCCATTCTAACCTATGGCTGCACTATGCACCTCCAATTCCGCTTAGCGAAAGCGACGATACTCTTCCATGAGCAATAAGGAAACAAATGGCTCTGGAGAAACGCAAGTAATAGAAAAGTATAAATGACTGTCTACTACCACGTAAAGAAGAGACACGTGAATGATGGTGAAGTTGTAACAGGTGATGACCACAACGTCACTGCCTACAACTTCGCGGCCATTTGTCTGCCCTTCTCTAACGTCCAGTAAATCGAATTTAATATACTGAATTGTTGTATAGATATTACATATTGTTCGTTTGTCATCTCTCATGGTTGTTGCTTATTCCTTCTAGGGGGCAGGAGTGGGCCGATGTAATCGGTACTATCTTTATCTCATGCATCATAGTAATTCTGTTGTTTTAGCCCACACCCATTGCAAAAAGAGCCATCATAGCTCAGTACCTATGCTACCCTTCCACTCACGGCTATGCCACAAGCATTAGCCACCAAGCTGAGGCTCTTGTCGATTACTTATAATAGGTACAACCGTGACCATGAGAAGGGCAATGGACCGTGAGGGTGACGTTAGCTGTGCCTCAGGCATATACCCGTGAATAATATCTCCACCCATCTAGATATTCTTAGGGGTTGTGGGCGGTCTTAAAACGATCGCCTATATGCTGTAGATATCACAGCTAGCATCTACGCGAAGGAAATTGTCTACATCTCCAACGTTCTTTTGGAGGTCGCAGGTCTACCTTATCAAATATCAAAATGTGCTTGAGGAGAGCTTGTAGAGAAGCTAATGTTCTTATCACCTTTTGATCAGTATCAGTACTTCCGCCATCCAACAACCAACGTGTTACAAATTTCCTATCTCACCTTCCTCGATAATTCTAAACCATTTATATAGTCTATAGTTAATCTCTTACTCGTTTAAGGTTAACACATCTTCTGATATACCTTCCTTCGCTGTATATACAAGTCTCATAGGCTTTTTCATAGCTTTAGCAGTGAACGCGCGTTTCTTAGAATTCAGAATGTGCCACCAGACTCCGCTGCTGAGGGAAGGTGATGATCTGAGCGAGTTTCAAGTGAACACTTTATGCATGAGATATGGACTTGCGGCTGCACCAACACCGAACGAAGTCAGTTTTTTGTTTTTTCCTCTTTATTCGTTTAAAGTTGTTTTTCTTCCAACTCCTTATTTCTTCTTCCCTCAACTTTTACTCTACTTCCTCCAGGAAAATGACCAAAGTATTTGACTGTTTCCTGAACATGTCTCCGTTCTTTACTTTATTA